ATGCCTTTTGTTTCATTAACTGTAGTGTCACCACAGAGCTGTCAGAGAATGCAGGAATTGATGTGCAATATAGAGGCATCAGCATTTTCTAAAAAATACTCAATAAGCCCCCTCAGACACTGCTGTACTTTCAAAGTCCTAATATCTTTAGATGATAATTGGGTTGCAGTTCTTGTGAAAGCAGGCTTACTTTTCACAAGTTCAGGGTTTGGTTTTTTTTGGTTTTTGTTTGCTTGTTTGTTTGTTTGTTTGAGTGCAAAGCATCTTCTATTGGCTGGTTTAAGAACCCAGCAGGAGCTCAGAGTAAGGTGCTTTAGCAGTTGTACAGTACCTTCCTTTTTAAAAGTGTTTTACAATACTAAGTATCCCCTTTATATTTTATTCCCCTTCTCCCAATTGAACCACCACTCTGACTCAGCATCTGCTCTGCCTCAAATCAGTTTTCCTGTGTGGGTCTGTTTCTCAGCATGTCTTTAATCAGCGTGCCCAGCAAGCTCTCAGGGACTGAGGTTCATGGGCTGAGTCTTTGTGACCACCATTATCACTCTAATCAACTAGTAATAAATAAAACGGTGAAATCCTACGCATACTTCTTAAGAGCTGGAGTTATCTAAATATAAGTCTAAATATAAGTTAACTAAATATAAGTCTTCTAATAACCTGCATGAATTAATGACAAATAGATGGGTAGGGAATAGCATAAGTGAAGAACAGAATGGAGAGAGGTGTCACAGGGTGGGAGCTACTGCAGGAAAGGGTCCTGTGTGTACTTTTCCCCAGGAATTGCAGGAATTTGCTGCTTCTATAAGAGTAATAAGTAAACCTTGCATTGCTAAGCATTGGAAATGTGGCTTAGATCTCTCATCTTAGTGTATGTATCTGTTACCTAACATTGTTCTGATTTGGATACTGGGGAAGATGATGATTCACACTTCAAAGGTTCTTCCTTCTCTGTTAGTCATGACCTTGAGGTCCCTTTTCCCTCCAGGTATCCCTACCATGGCCCTGTGCTCTGTCTGGTGAGAGCAGCATTCTGCTACACACTCTAACACTCTGCTTGCCACCATTATATGATTGAGGTTTATAGGTCAGTGTTTAGGACAATGCAGAAACACACTCATGGAAAGTTTTTATCTATGTAAATAAAGGGATCTACAGGGAAAAGGATGAATGCTTCATGGGAAAGATAACAGAGTGTTTAATATTAAATTATTTCCTCTACCAGGTGCCAACTCCTTGGCACTCTCAGGCAGCAGCTGCTGTCCAGTCCAGCTCCTGTGCACATGCTGCCAAGGTGTCCAAGTCCAGGCACCTGTAAACGAGAACTGGTATCTCCAGTGGTGTATACACTCCAAACCCTGTGACTTTCAAGTTCTTTTGTGTTCAGTATGATTTTAGGCATGTTATTTTTCAATACACAGCCTTTTCTAGCATCAGTAGTTAATATTGTAGACCAGTTACTTACAAAAAGAAATAGATTTTAATTGTGGTAAATCCTAGGGACAGATCAGGTCATCATGAGAACACAAAGAGAAGGAGGTGGTATGCACAGCTTTTGCTTTCCCTATCAAACTGTCCTGTCTTTATCTCAACTCAAAAGTTTTGTACTTTTTACCCTTCCAATTCTCTCCCTGATCCTGCCAGTGAGGGAGTGGCTGTGTGGAGCTTGGCTGATGGCTGGGGTTAAACCACCACACACCCAGAGCTACAGGAAAGACTTAAGCAGACAAAACTGAGGGGCCAAGGGCTGTCTCTTGTGCCAGGGATGGGGACACAGCCAGCCCTCCAAAGCCCCACTTGTGATTTCATTGGAAGCGAGATGTACAATAAATCCCTGCAGTTGGCAACACAGCACATTCCTCCTTCCTGAGCTTGAGTACTTCCGCTCCTTGGGTGTCAGACTCAATCTTGTTTCAGATTTTTGCTTCAAAGGCTAGGCCAATCCCATGCTGTGCTTGTGTGTTTCACAACTGACCTGTTCCCCAGACCTTTTCAAGGTGACATTGTTACCTACTTTCTTGAACTTTTCACTGGTTGGCCTTTAATCTGTGACTGCTGCAGGTGGAAAATGCACTAATCCATTTATGCGTCTTCCTGCTCCCAAGTCTGTGGGAGGAGAGGGTTTGATAAAGGCTTTCAGTAAATTCCTCTTGGGTAAAACAGAGAAGGGAAGGTTATCTTGAGTCATCTTTGTATCTAAACTCCAGCCCCTTCTATGTAAATAAGTTATCTTCCTCAATGCCAGACCAAGTAACTTTAAGGAAAGTTTAAAAAATAAGCCTCACACCTTTGAAACAAAGCAACTAGAAAACAGAAACAGAGCCGAACAATTGATAGTATCTGGGAGTTGCCTCTTTACACAGCTCCATGACAGGTATTAAAGCCTCTTACATTTACACCTGCCAGGGGCTTCACAGCATGGTGTGTGTTTCTGGGATCCAGCATACAGTGTGCTGCGTTTAACACCTGCCTGTGGGGGGTCCCTCTTATTACATGGGTTGGTGAGCACGAAAAAACAGAGCTTGAGGCATCTTGCTATGGACATTTCAAACCAGATATCCCTGCTCCTCAGCCCTTTCATCTTCTAAGTACTTTAGCTGGTGAGAATGGCAGTGTGTGCGAGGCAATGGCCATAGCTGGAGGGCAGCCGGGAGCACAGGAGGCTGGAGGAGTTTTGGAGGAGAGGAATGCCAGAGAAGGCAGGGAGTGCATTTGGGATGCTGGATGCCACATTCTCCTGCCGTCTCCTCCCAGCTGACAGCACGAAGCTGTGAGCAGTGTTAAGGCCTAATGTGCCCCAAAAAAGCTGCAGCTTTGGAGGATCACATTCATGTCACCCTTCTGTGTAAACTGTCCAGCAGACAAGTCCATTCAACTGGCAGATGATGGTATAGTTTAACAAATAATTAAAACAAGTCTGATATTTCCTTCCTGGTCTAAATAGTCTAATCAGTAGAAAGCACAGTAGGCACAGAAATAGTAAATTATTTGAGTTTATTTTAAAGCAGAAACTAAAGAATAGAATTTAATAGGATAAAACACTAATAGAAGCAAAATGATTATAATTTCTCATTTTTAATAAATACGTACAAGAATAAAATCATCACATTCTCTTACAAAATCTATATGCACCCTTTGTCTATTAGCTCAGGGAAAAAAAAAAGGGGGAAAAGTTTAAGAAGGTTTTCTTCACTGAGTGAGACTCTACCTCTGATTGTATTGAAATGTTTTGTCATAAAAAGAGCTGAAGGGGGACAGGAAGAAGAAAATATATTATAAAAGGTCTTTTGGTGTGCATTGCTCCACATGATTTTCAGGCTCTATTGGCATTTTATCCAGATGCTGACTTTGTTCATAGATGCAGACTGGTGTACACAGGACTTTGTTCCCATACGGGAATATTGGTATTGAACAAAGAGCTTTATTCTCAACCAGCTCTGAAAAAGCCCCTTGCTGGAGCAAAGAGCCATCGCTCACAACACTGAAGGCTGCCCTTGTGCAGGTGCTTCCTTGGCAGAGGGCAACCTCATCAAGCTCCATCTCAAGGTGTTTCAAGTTGCCTGTCCAACAAGGTCCCAAGTCATTGCTGAGGTTTGAAAACTTGACTGAGGAGGAGGAGGAGACTGGTCCTGTCATCAGGAAAACCAGCCCTGTGGGTTTCAGTCCTCTTAACACATCTTGGTTTCTTCAGCAGCTGTGAACACGAGTGTGCCTTCTACAGAAAATAGTTGTCATGGGGCTTCTAGAGGAGGAAGAAGTAGGTATTTTTAGAAACAGCTCGGAGGTCATCTGAGTGTCTTTGACCAGTGTAACCAACACAGGCTCCAAGGCTCATCTCAGCTTTGCATGTACACAGGCTAAGCTTGGCATCTCATCAGAGGGGTTGGGAATGGAGATAGTGTTAGTAAACAAACAAGTCGTGCTTGTTATCCTTCTTCCACAACCAAGCTTGAACTTTGTCTCTTTCTCACCATCCTGCTGTGAAATTGGAATTTCTGTTGTGATTGCATGTGGCTTAGGTTTTTGTGTATGTTGGTTAAAGTGTGTCTGGGTTGTAATCAGTTGGTCCAGACTGGAAAAAACAAGAGCAGATGCAAAGGAATTGCTTGAAGAGAAAATGAAACAGCCAACAGACACACAGAGCATACCTTATCTACTTTATCTGCAAATTCTTCTTCATTCACAACACAAAATAAGTGTGGCCAAAAAATCTTAGAGGCCAGCAGATTTCAATAATAGTGAGAAATTAGGTATTGTGATCTCATAAAAAAGATTTTGAAATATATTTGAATCCAACGGGGATAGATACAGAAAACTGACTCAGAGAGTTGCAGAGATACAACTGAAGGCTTTGGATGACATCACAGAGTTATTATTTCATCATTGTAAGGTTTCATGGTGTCATCATAACATTTGTGTATCCACCATATTGTTAAGGCATGGGATACACAACAGTGACTCTGGGGCTAATTGCAGCTGTGATTACTTGCTTTGATGGCCCTTGTCAAGTCTTCAGTTTCCCTTGTCATCTCAAATGCCATCTCAGCAGAAGAATGAAGGGGACAAAATGCTTCAGGTCTTTATGGGGCTTTATTGTTGTTGGTTTTTTTTGTTTGGTTGTTGTTTTTTTTTCTCAGAAGAAACGTTTCTTTTCTTTTCCTGGTATTAGTTTGGCAAGAATTGTGTTTCATGGTGCATGAGGAGCGGACCTATGTACTGCTTTCTACCTGTTGAGCCTGAAGTGCCATAATATATTCAAACTGCACCTCTGGGCTTCAGAAAGATCAGTGTCTTTTTTTCTGCCTTTTCCTGTTGAATTTCTTCTCTATGGCTTTCTAAACCTTATTTATTTTTTTCCCATAACTTTAAATTATTTAGGGTGTTAGAAGTTTTGAGTTGCTCTAGTTCACCATTGTTTCTTTCCCTCATCTCCAGCAGGCTTTTGCTTTGGTATTCATTTTCTAAGCATGGAAATTTTTTTCTGAATTTCTCTCTTTCAGGAATCTCATTTGTATATCTACTGGTGCTCATTAAAGTAGATTCAGGACTTTCAGCAAATATGTTTGTCACGACAATATTGCAGGCCACCTCTGACTGCAAGCATTCAATCTGAGATGGGGATAAGCTATTTCTCTTGGCTGTATTCTGAAGGTAAAAACTGTTTTGGCAAAAGAGCCATGTAGAGTAAAGTCTGAGTCCTTGCTTCAGCCTAGATTTCCATCCACTTCATTTCACATGTAAAAAGCAAAAAACCTGTTCGCCTCATAGGTAGGATTCTGGACTACAGGTACTTCCCAGCCTGAGTTGTTCTGTTACTGAGCCTGTTGTCATACAAATGCTCAAATTAAGTTGAATGAAAAAAAGTCAATTACAAAAAAAAAAAAAAAAGTTTTGAAAAGAAAAGTTTAAAAAATATGTTACAGTATTTCCTCCTTTTTATATTTCTTTAATATCTGAGCTTCTTTGTTGAACTTGAGATGAGTTAGTCCTTTGGAAATCAGTCCTAATCAATTTGTATTTAACAGGTTAATATTATCTAATCTTCTGCAAATATAGTTATGCTTGTTTTGTCTCCAGTGGGAAACTACCTTCAAACATTACCCAAAGAAACACCTTAATAAATAAATTTATTAAACTGATAAAAACTTCAGAATTACTGGGTCTACTTTATCACCCTGCTAGGATCAACAGCTTTTCAAATGGCAGGAGAATGTGCCTCTTCTGTTTGGGTTTTCATGTAAACATGAGATTGTCTTCAGAGGTTGCATCCTTGTCCTCCCTGCTCTTTGTCTCTGCCTGTGGTTACCCATGTTCAAAAAAGCTTAATCCTGGAAGAGGAGCAGAGAAGGGATGTCAGAATGCCTAGAGGAACTGAAATGTGACTGAAGGAATTTGGTTTATTTACCTTGGAAATACCAAAGAGTGAGAGGAGATATGATAAATTTCAATAGAAAAGGGCAAAAGGAAAGATGGGTGGAAAGGGGGGAAGGGAGTGTAACTGCGAAGGAGGAAAAGAAGCTAATTAAGCAGAAATACAGTTGTTAAAAAAAAAAAGTACATTTGATGTTCAGAGGTGTCAGATGGTGGAAATGCTCTATCTGGTGTAGCAGGTGGAAAACCTTAACTGGTTAAATTAAGGATTGATCATTTTGAGAGGGGAATGGAATGACACTACTGTCCATAATACACTGGATTGTACAACCTAGCTCTGCCCTTCCTGCAACTCCTGCCTTGTGCCTCCTGGCATCACAGTGACCCTTCCTACTAAAGAAGCTGACCTGGATAAACCCTGGTAGATCATCCATCCTAACAAATCTTTATAGAAATATTTATTTTTTTTTCTCTGACCCTTTAATAGGAATGCTTGATACCCTCTTTCGGTAAAGAAGAAGATCCAGGTGCCAAGTTAGCAAATATCTGTACTATTTCAGAGCAGAGCTAGCAAGTTACCTATTTGCAGTTTGTTTTATCATTTCTGACCTTAGTGTGCCTGTGAATCCCCTGACCTTGTTTGAGTGCCACGTGGTGATTGTATTCTTGTGTTTGCAATCTTTATCTTTCTAAGTGAAAGGCCTAAAACAGGTGTCCATGTCATTAAATATTGTGCTTGAAATATTCAAACTAGTGGAGATGTTATCTGTCCTTGATTTAGGCAAATAAGGAAGGACCTGACCTCAATCTTTATATAAACATCCAGCAGCATAGCAGTAAATCTGTTTGCCAGCATGGCAGATGGAACTCTTCTTTAGGGTTCTGTTTCCTCTCCACCATCCACCCCCATTTCATCAGCCAATGCATGTCCATTGAGAAAGTATATTCATTTCAAGTGAGCCAGTGAACCCCAAAAAGCCTTAGGAAACAGTCAAAATAAACATACCAGGATTTCTGATTGAATTGTTATCACCAGTACTCTTCTAGTCTTTGATGGGAAAATGTTTCTTTTACAGCATCACCAAGCTCCTAGTAATCTTGTTGAGGTTAACAAATGAAACATTTATTTATCTAATGTCTCAGCCAGTTACTTCACACACACCCAGAATAAACCACCAGTGTATGTCATTTGAATATAAAGGAAAAAAAGTGATTGACTTTGCACCAGTTGAGCAGGTGGATAAACACAGCCCTTTTTTGTTTGGCTTTACTTTCTATCATGATGTTTCCTCCCCCACTTAAACATTGACTTAGCTAGGAAGGACACTAGTTAAAGACATTTGGACACAAAACTCTGTAATTCAGCCTGTAAAGCCATACTATAAATGGGTAAAAGTCAAGAAAGGGAAGCACTGAAACATCTGAAAGAGAAAGACAGACAATATTAACCCCTTGCTGAAAGGACTCATGTCCATGTGTTCCTTCTACTGCCAGTGCCTCATTTAGTATCAATGTCATCTTAATGCTGCAGACAAACCTGGAGCCCTTCCTCAATGTCCCAGTAAAGAAGGCAACCATCACTTGCACTTAGGAAGATTCAGGTAACATCCTGTTCAATTTCCATTAACATGTATCAGAACAGAGGTGACCAAGTTACATGCTGAACAATTCCTTCAAAATGGAAGTATACTCCAACATGAAAGTTCATTTTATAGGGAGCAAAAAAAAATAGTAACAACAGCAAAAGAACCCCTTACCCCAAAGCAGTTTTTCATGTAACTAACAAAGCTCTGCTTCACAGGGGTGATTCCTAACCACAGAATCTTGTATAAGCAAGACTGGCATGTCTTCCCAAAACTGGACTTGCTGGCACCACAAGTACCACTGGAAACAATTCTGTAAGGTTACCTTTTAGTTAATATCTACCACCAGAATGTCCTAAATGAAATTCTACCTTGAAGCATCTATGGGAGGAAGTGACATGTGTTTAGTTAATGAAATTCTGCAAAGCAATGACCAATAAAGGTACAATCTTAGAGCTTGGACATGAATCATCAATTTTTAAATGAAAATTAACACTCAAAAATTATTGTTTTGAATGAATCTAATTTCTCCATACTGCATCAGCTCTGGAGTGTTTGTACTAAGTCTTAGAATATCAATTCGAACGTGCTTGGGATTGGATGCAATAATGGAGGGAAGGTTCCTGGGACTTTTTCCAGGTCTCCTGGCACTGTGAGATTGGGAAAATTTTCATGTTACGTGATGTCAGTAGGACAGGTTCTGCTCTGATTAAATCATCTAATCACTTTACTTGATTAGATTCTCTAATCAAGGCGGGTCCTTTCCATTCAATAGCCTGAAAATATAACATGTTTTAACCACATACCTCAAGCTACTATAACAGGACAAATATTCCTATGTATGCTGACGTGGGAGGTATGGCTGCAAAGTGTGTATTCAGATAGGCAAACAATCTCTGAGCACATTTCTTGGGTTTGAATTAGCCATTCTATGTAAACTCTGGGACCTGTTACTATTTTTAACTTCCTACTGGCCTACTGGCCACCATGACTCAGCATAGTATAGATGCATAGAACAGTCCTGGAGACTTCCTCATCTTGGGCAGAAAATCTGGTTCTCTCCTTCAGCTTTTACAACTGTTGGAAAAACAAAACAAAACAAAACAAAACAAAACAAAACAAAACAAACGACAAAAAACCAACCAAACAAAAAAACAACCAAAAACAAACAAACAAAAAAACCAAAAAAAATACCCCACCAAAAAAAAAAAAAAAGAAGATGAGCCTTTGGGTATAAGAAGGTGAACACTGTAGAGACATCACAACCAGAGTGCCACTATAAAATGGAGCTTTTCTCACAGCTAGTCCTCTATGGATCACTATTTGCTGTCCATCACAATTTATATGGTAACTTTCCAAGGATTGCTCATTCCAGTTTTTTTAGTAGTCACTGCTGCTGTGACGTGTCCTGGTGTTCCCTGCCAGGTGCATAAACACAGGTTCTTGTGTCTTGCTTCATCTCTCGGAAAGGACGTCAGTGCAGTTCCTTACTTTGCCTTCCTGTTCAAACTTTACTCCCTCATGTGCCAGTCAAGAAGTTTGTAATGAAGAGCGCAGGAGATTATGGGATTGCCAGACCATGATTATGCAAAGAAACTCCTAACTTAAAAAAAAACTAGCTACAGAAAATAAAGGTTCTTTGAGAATGAAAATACAACAGTGTAAAACTCAACACGTTATTCTTCAGCTTTGAGGAGAGTGGAGTGTATTTTTATTTCATCCTACGGAGTCAAACACTTGTAGAAGTGGGCATTCCTTGCACTGCTGAGCAGATGCAACCTGGTGGAAGCAGGTTGTTTCCATTGGGCACACTAATACTTTTAATAATTAAGCATAGCAGAAAGTGACAGCATTCTTACAAATTTTTCCTAAAATTTAGGAATAGTAGATGTACATTTTTTTCCTATTAATGTGGCAGAATTGTCTTTCAATCTCTTCTTATACCTGCATTAAAAAAGACAAAAAACCCCAGCCTTCTCTGTTCATTGTGTATGACAGTTGCCATGGAGGGAGAAGAGATAAAACTGTTCCATCTGGAGCCCTGATCCGACATAAATCATGGACACTAAAGTGCTGAAATGAGATGTAAATTAGTTGAGCTGCCAGGAAAGACAAATTTTTACTCTGCATAACTAATAGCAAAGTATCCTGTGAGAAATTCCTTTCAGATGTACATCTGCACGGAGACATCCCATCAGGACTGTACTTAGCTTTCTGTACTGAGATTCCTTGAAGTCTGATAGAGACTTTTGCCCTTCCCCTAAAAATTACCACTGCAGAGTGGCAATTAGATGAAACTCTAATCCAAAACTGTAATCCTAGAAGCCTTGTTCTAAGGTGATGCTTAACCCTAACATGTTCAAAAACTACGGACCCTGAGTTTAGGCACAGGAAGTCAAACAACCAGGAGGATCCTGGGGTTCCTGGGGTTCCATTCCATTGGCAATTCTAAATGGCTTAATTAAAATCAGTGTTTAATTAGAAAAAGGCATCTCTTTGGCTGTTGGGCCAGGTGCTCTGTGGGGGTTGCTAAGAGGATGCACCTCCAAGCAGGTGTTGTCACTGTTGCTTTGCTAATGCAGGGCCATAGGAAGCAGGGAGTTGCCTTCACACCCCTTCCACTCAGCCAAGGCTCTGTCCCTTTCACTGGGCTTTTGGGGTCAGATATGGCTGTTCCTGATACTGCAGTAGAAGAGGAAGGGCTGGGCTGTGAGGATGGGCTGCTCAGAAGAGCCTGAGCTAGAGGGAGAGAGCCTGGGGGCCTGGAAGGAGTGTTGGGGGAGTGATCAGGTTTGTGGCAAGCAGGGTGAATGTTGTGGATATTTAAATAACTCATGGTGTTTCTAGTTAAAGCTCTTTTCCA